CGAGCCGCTGTCTGGTGGCCGGAGAGCTGCGTGAGCCGTGCGTGCTGCAGCAGCTCCTCCGGCGAGGGCTTCCGCTCCCGAAAACGTGAGGGAATAAATTAGCCAAAGGGGCCCCTTTTGGGACATTCGTAAGCATCCAAAAGGGCTTTAATTGCAGTTTGCAAGTGGAAGGTGGGAAGTAATGAGCTTGAACTGTAGCAAGGGAGATTGAAGGTAGACGTTAGGAGAAGACTCTCACAGAGGATGGTAAAATGCTAGAGCTGCCTGCCTGGGAGGGGAGGATTCCCAGCATTTGGGGTTTGTGAGAGCTGATGAGCATCTTTGGCGAACTTTATAAGGAGCGTTGGTCCTAGCTTAGGGCCCAGGATGGGCTCTGGGAAGTGGCTGCCGAGTCTCGGTCGAAGCAAAAATGGCCTTGCCATCATCACAGTGGGACGGATTGCCTTTAGACTTATTTTCCTGGTTCTTGAATGTCTTTTTTTAACCATTAATTACAATGCCATTATTTGTCTTATTCTAATTATATACAACTTCTTTTTTTTTCTTTTTAATTCTCCTTCCTTACATTGCTCTACCTCACGGACCATGCCACCGATTCAAGTCAAAGCTGTTGCAAATTTGATTAGGTCTTGACAGTTATGTGCCTTGGCTACCGATTACACGTGTGGTCTGATGCCGTCTGTAGCTTGATTTAAAAAAAAAAAAAAAAAAAAAAGTGTATTGTCTCTAAAGCATGTCACTGAAAAGTTAGCAGCGCTTATCTGTGGGTTTTTTATAGAGGCGCATCTGCATCTGGAGGAGAAATAAGCCTGCTGCTGGTCCAGTACCAGTGCAACTTGTTCTAGATCTGCAGATGGACTAGCCTGTGCGTTGCAGGGAGAACCAGCCTCCGTATCAAGCAGGTTTTCGCTGCCTCTTTGACTTACCCACGGAAAGGATTTTTCTCTTTTTTCCCCCCTCCCGCTCCCCTGATTCTGCAAATGCTGAACTGTCTAACGAAGCAGAGTCGTTTCACCTCCCCCTTGCCCATCAGGGACGGGTCTGGTTTAACCTGCGGCTCGGCACGGGGAGATAGCGTCAGCAGCAGTCGTGTTTGCAAGACCGAAAAAGCCAAGCTGTAATTAGTTAACAGAGCTGTAATTGGAAAGATGCTTTATGGCTGAGGCTTAAATGAGCCTGCAGCGAAGCCACGTTTGGCACAGCTTGTCCCTAACCGCTTGCTCTGGCGAAACCCCACCCTTTCTAAAATAAGGCAGCAGGGTAAGCAAAATAAGGAAGAACAACTTTCGGCTGTTTTTCACGTCAGCTGTACAATAAGGCTCTGTTCGGTTAACGGACTTTTCCGACAAAACGGCCAGCGCCCTCGGCCCTCGTTTCCGCCACCTCCGTTAGGTGCCCCGTCGAGGGGCAGCGGGGTGCCGAGCAAAGCGCGGTCGAGGGCTGTAGGCGAGGAAGAAGCTCGGCCGCTTGCTTTGAGTCAAGGCCTGGGGCTGAAACAATGGGTTTGAATGTTGCTGGCGTTTCCTACAGCGTTATCAGAGCGCCGCAGGGTCTGCTTCCTGCGGCGTGGGTCGGGGTGATAAAGCGGGGCTGCACCTCGTGCTCGGCCGTAGGAGGAGAAGAGGAACGACTCCCGCGCCCTTGCAGAACCAGCTGCGCTGGTGCCATTCGCGGGTTAAAGCCCCTCGCCTCCTTCTCCGCTTTCGCGGGAGGAAAACGCAAAATCACCTCCTGTCTCGACTGTCACTTCTGTCGGCCGTACCCAGCGTAGGCAGCAGGGAGGCCCAGCGTTGCCTCGAATTCCTCGCTCTTCGTCGTGCGCATCTAGAGGGCTTTGCTGCCGGGACGGCTCGGAGGTCGCTTTGGAGAACTCCGCTTGGTGCTTCTTCGTGCTGCGAGCCTGCCGTGCGTGCGGTGGAAGGGAAAACCAGCTGGCGGGACAACTAACTGGGAACTGCTGGCCGCTAACCGCTGCCAAACAGCGGGGAGACTCTGTGCTGGAGACTGGAGGCTGGTTTTGAGCTGAAGGAGCGTAGTCCTCGGAGCATCTCGCAGCCGGGAGCGGAGCGGACAGCCCCGGCGAGCTTGTCGGCG